GTGTGTGTGTGTGTGACGGGTTGAGTATATACTGCTGTTTATACTTCTATGCTGTCTTTCTTCCCCTCCTCCTCCTCTTCCCTACCCCTCTCCCCGCCCATCTCCCTTGTGTCCCTTGCTTTCTGGTTGGTTTTTGTTTTGCAGGGAAGTCCAGAGGCATAGGAATACGGTGTTTCAACTGTTTAGAAGGCATCACTGCCTATGCCGGTGGTCAGAATGCGGAGCGGTATGTCGTACAGAAATATGTGGAAACGCCACTTCTGCTCCAGGGCCGCAAGTGTGAATATCGGCAATGGGTCATTGTTACGGATTGGAATCCACTAACCATCTGGTGTTATGATACAGGGTACTTCAGGTCAGTAGAGTGATTCAATCCCTTCAAAAAAATGTCCACCACCCCATCCATCATGCAAGGCACGTCAAAAGGAAGTTACCTGAATAGTCAAATCATCAAACCCTTTTTTAATACTCTTATAATGATAATCATTTCAAATTAGAATAAAGGAATGCGAGGCCCTGGGCTGCGGGTCGGGTAGTTAGGCCAGTAGGTAAATTGGGGCCCCGACGGTCCCAAGCACCTGACCCAGTAGGGACCATGCAGACCTCGGCCTTGGAAAACACCAAAAGGAAGAGCTGGGGCATGTGAGAACCACTGGGAAGGCCGCTTGCTGCAAGATAGCACTGCCATTTGCAGCGCAGGGCCGAAGCGGCCGTGCAAGCAGCATGCGCGGGGTGCTGAAAGGTGAGTGGGCGCCGTAGCTCAGAGGCATCATAGGCTAGAGGGAGAAGGGTGGTGAGGTGGAGGTGGTCCTCAGGGGTCAGGAAGGTTTTGAAAGGTGTGGATACTTACCTGTGGTTGGCAGCATGGTCAGCCTCTTCAGCGCTCATCGGCAAGTAGGGAGAGAGCTCGTAGAGTAGTAGATGATTCGCTAGGCTAAGAAGTAGTGTAAGAGGACATACCTGAGTTGAGGGCTACTACTTTGTCGTTTTATTGATTGAGTGGAGGCAAGAAGTGGGCTTTTATTATCAAGAGGTTTCACTATCCTGTGTTCTTGCACAGGTGCGCTCAAGCTATTGTCGATTCTGCTTTCAGTTTGGTCAACCCATTCTTGCTCTTCAATTAGTTGTCGTTGGTCAGGAAGTCTGTGGTGCATTTCGGTATCGGATCGGCACCTCTGACGGTCGCCATCCCAGCTGGAGGGCTAGGAGGTGTGGTACCAGCACTGGTTGGCTGATGCTGCATTGGCTTCTTGGCGGCTGGTTGGATCATCCCTTCGGCAGAGAGTGGATGCGTGGGAGTACTGGATTATATGGGAAGTGGTGAGGGTATCCGGATGCTTGCCGTTGCTTGAGGTGGTACTGGCATTGCAATGTCTGTAGCTTCTCTGCATGACTGGTGATCAAACGACATCATCATCAGCAGTTGGTGAATTAATCTATGGTTGGGGCAGCGTCAAGTATCCCCAAACTTATCTACCTGTCCATTGATCTTCGCACCATGAGGATGGGAATTTCACCTGAGATTCATCTCATCAGTGAGGTGCGAGTGAGCGCAACCTTGAGAGTCATCCCGCTCCTGGCACATCTTGTGGGAGTAGGGCAACACAGAGGAACTGCCTCAAGGACGAGGTCAAGCACACGATATCAGCATAGTCACACATGCATGCACAGATCATGCTGAGCTCGAGCAGCAGGGTAGCAGGCACCTTGGGTGTGGTCACGTCGTCCGTTGCGACACTCTGGGCAAATCGCGCAGCATTCCTGCAGTGGCTCCTCCTATTCTCTCTATTTGTTCTTTTGTTTAGCCACTTGTGCAGTGGTACCGTCAGGAAAAGAAAAAGAAAAAGAAAAAAGGTGATGTATCAACCATTGCAAACTCTTGAAATGAGGAGGGCGGGCCACTATCAATTCCTGCCATGGGATATTGCTGAGCCTGCTGAAACGGTTTTCACCTTTGCAGAGGCAGATGCAGATCCCAGGGTTCGATCCCCAGACCTTACCTTACCCATGTACAGTATCGAGTTGACCCCTGAGTGTTTGAACCTGTGACCTGTGTTTCGTTAGTTGTTGTTTGTCTGTCGAAGGTCTGTGTAGATGTAGGGATTCGATCTGTAGGTCTATCGGGTATGGGTCACAGCTCTGTAGAGGTCGTAGCTATAGGTATTCTGAAAGGTCAAGGTCGTAGCTGCGACAGTCCTGAAAAGTCAAGGTCGTAGCTGCGACAGTACCCGAAAGGCCAAGTCCATGGACTTCCGGAAGTTGCCTTTCGAAGCTGCCTCACGTTTTAGTCAGAGGCAAGTGGGCAAGTGGTGAGCCCAATTGCGTTACGTCGGCAGTTTGACTGCGTTGAGTTGGCAGTGCGAACCCATGCAGTCAGCGGTACTGGTCCAGTCAGTCCCAGTCCAGTCCAGCAAGTACCATGAGGGACTGTGTGCACCATGGGCCGATGGAAAGAGGCAGACCAACGAGTTACAGGAGTATAAATCAAGAGGCAGCGCCCAGCCATTCATTCATTCCTGCGTAAGCCATGCGGAAGCGCTGCCACAGTGACTTGTGCGAGGTGGTCTGCAGTGAGCCCGAAGACGAAGTGGGCGAGAAGGAAGCTTAGCCATAGCGATAGGGTAGCAGCGGCCATAGCCGCCATAGTTGGTAGGAGAGAGTAGCGTGTGTAAGTGTGCGAGTGTACAGTGTGTTGCGTGTGGGATATCCAGGGTGATCCTGTGTGCGAACAGCAGTGTTGAGTAAGTGACGAACAGAGAGTTGTACAGGCGATGTGCCGCCATAGCCATTTGAAGTGAAGTTGTATCTGAACTGCGTTCTTGGTTACTATATCTTTGAGTTCTGAGTGGGGCTTGTCGCCAGTTTGCTGTGCAACCTATTTGCATGCATGTGAAGTGTGAACGAAAGCAAGCCTGATTGCACTGCTTTATCTATGCCCAAATCCTCCTGCCACCTGTGGGCAATTGTTTGCAGAAGCCGACCATCTTCTGAGTTCATAACCCAACGAGTTGCTGTAGTCAACTAGATTGTTTCGCCTCCTTAAGTTCAGGGGCACCTCCTCTTATGTTCCATACCTATTCCACTTGATCCACTTCCAGCATATCGTTGATTTCCATGTGGGGGTGGGAAAAAAAAGAGTCAGTTGTTCTTGTTCTATGACTCTAATTTTTCTGAGTAGGTCTCTCCTTACTATAACTTGGGAAAAAAAAGAGTCAGCTGTTCTTGTGCTATGACTGTAATTTCTCTGAGTAGGTCTCTCCTTACTATAACTTGGACGAATCCACTTCCTGCATTGTGAATCTGGTCAAATTGTTCCTACAGTCTTCGTGGCCCCGGTATTCCGGCACATGCCATGCTCAGGCCAGTTTTTGTTGGTCATCACCCCCCAGTCCCCCAATTCCCATTTGCATTCTTGTTTGAGCAGTACCTCCCATTCCTTGAGGATCGCCTTGATAAGTCCCTGTAGATTTCGATCCAGTTTGCCCTTTTAGCTTCCCTCTTAGTTCCTTAGCGGTTTTCCAACTTTTCCATTCTTTGTATTCTTCTTTCGAAATGTGTCTAATCTGCCAAGTTCCCTTTTTGAGCCAAGAACCCCATCTTGGGTCTTTAGAAGTTGGTGTATATGGGCTGTCTTCCTCCCCATGGATCAATTGATTGCAAGAAAGTGGTTGTCTGAGTACCTCTTCTTCCTTTTTGGGTTCTCTTATTTTAGAGGGGAATATTTCTCTCCGTGACTGTATTAGCTTATAGCAATAATGTTGTTGGGTGTTTCTCAAACTTTCTCCCACTCATTGACCCCTTTGTTCTGTTGCCCTTTATTGCCCAGGTAGCGTCCACATATTTGGTGGAGTTTTATCGGCTGCTATTTGCTTGACTGCTTCCAAAGCTAAGTAGATCCAAGTTAGGTTCTTGTCGCAAATCAATTCCAGGATCCATTTGGTCTGTACTACTCTGTAGGCCCTTTGTTTGAGTGACCGCGTCCAGAATCCTGAGTCCCCTCGTTCTTTCTTTTGCGTGATGTAGTTCAAGTCCACCTTGTACATGAAGTGCTGCTTAGAGGGATTGTCTGTCCCTTGCTATGCTGCGACCTTCTTTTTGTTGACATCTGCAAGAGTTGATTACTCGCAAGTCCAGAGCGAAGCCAAATACCACATCATTAAGCATATGGACTCGTTTATCGCTGGTGCCGTTCCATATAGAGATATGTGGACTTCAGACCAGACTCATAATTTGCCCATAATTTTTGCCATAAGGCTAACAGCCATGCTATTGGCTGCCCCTTGGTCTGTTATATTTACCTCTAGAAAGCATAAGTGTTCCTTAACTTCCTTTTGCTGCGACTGGTTTCTGAATTCACCCAGCCGCAATCCGCCAGCCTAGTGTTTTGGCCTGCTTAGATCAGGGATAAACTATTTCCTAGGGAGAGAGAAGGGACCGTTCTGGGCTTATTGGCATTGTGAATGCGTTTGTGACAAATCGGGGATAAACTATGTACGAAGGACAGAGAACGGAACACATGCGTTTGTGACAAATCGACTAAGGACAAAGAAAGGATTGTGACAAATCGGGTATAAACTATGTACAAAGGACAGAGAATGGAATGCATGCATTTGTGACAAATCGGGGATAAACTATGTATGCATGCGTTTGTGACAAATCGGGTATAAACTATGTATGCATGCGTTTGTGACAAATCGACGATAAACTATGTACTAAGGATAGAGAAGGGATGGTGACAAATTGGGGATAAACTATGTACAAAGGACGGAGAATGGAATGCACGCGTTTGTGACAAATCGGGGATAAACTATGTACTAAAGGACGGAGAAGGGAACAACCATTGCGGGCTAGTTGGACAGAGAAGGGAATGCATTTGTGACAAATCAGGGATAAACTATGTACTAAGGACAGAGAAGGAAACAGCCATTGTGGGCTAGCGGGCAGTGTAAATGAATGCATGCGTTTGTGACAAATCTGGGATAAACTATGTACGAAGGACAGAGAAGGAAACAACCATTATGGGCTAGTTGGCATTGTAAATGTTATCCTTTCTACATCATGTTTCAAGCACTTGATCTGTTGATCGACTTTTGTTATCATTTTTTTTAATTTTTTTTTTGCATGCCATTAATATGGGTGTCAATGTTTGTTTTTTGTTAACAATCTATGTTAAAACAAAAGGGTATAACTTAGCTGGAGGCATCATGAATGATCTGCTTCTGCACGCTTTCTACACGCGGTTTCAACACTCCATCTGTTGATCAGCTTTTTTTCAATGTTTCCAATGTTTTGTATTGTTAAATTGTTGATCTATTGTGTAATTACTAATTAATAATTCCATTAATTTAATATCAT